CCGCAGCCTGAAAATCACAAACTCGGACGAAGACAAGGAACGCGTCGCCAACATATTGGAGAACGTCCTCCTGTCGCTCCCGGTGTATTTGATCAACGCCACGGGCACCTCTGCGGACGAGCTCGTGCATTGGCTTTGCGAGCAGGATTCCGTGTACCTCGGCGAGGCATCGTGAGGGGGCGCAAGGCTAAGGAATACTCGCACAGGTAAGGCAAGTAACGCTAGTTGAATCCACGCGACAGATCATCCAGCACAGCGAAGATGCGCGGCAATAAAAACAAGCGTGAGAGACCATGAGGTGCACAATACAAAAACGGAACAACACGTGCCACAAGCTGGAAAGCCTTCCCACACATTCGAGCCAGGCATCCTCACGAGGTGTTGATGCTGAACAAGAAACCTGGAGCCATGCCGCAGCGCAGCAGGCTCAAGCCACGGCAAGTGCGACAGTGAAACTCATCAACACACTCTCATGCCGGGCCTTATTGACTACTCTAAGTGGGAGCTCCTCTCCAGCGACGGCAGCAACGAGGCAGAAAGCAGCCAACCGCGTAACTATGCCACGTCTCCCCGCCAGGCCATTCGAGAGAGCATGTGGGCGTCGGCGGACGCACCCCTACCGACCGACCCGACGCTCCGTGCCGAAATTCTTCGCGATCAAAGAGAGTTGGCGGCGTTCATCAAGCGGAATCGCTGCCCCTCGGCAAAATCGCTGAACAAGTGGCTGCGACGGGAAACGAAAGCCAGAGCCACGTCAAGAGCGGCATCTCCCACTTTCGCGACGGTCGCGGCGCACAAAGGATGGACACCCGACACAGTGCGCCGCTGGTTCCATTACCCCTCCTTCCGAGCCCTATGGGAGTCGGCCGGATCTGAACAGGAAGATGCTTTTCACATGCAACGCAGCACCGGTATCGACTTGTACGAACGCGGTGGACGGGAGTGCATGCGATTTCATTATTATGCCCTGAACCATGCGATGTGCGGCGAGAATTTCGTGGACAACAAGCAGAAACCTTTGTCGGCCTTCGGCTTCGTAAACCACGTGGACAAGGTCTGGGACGGCATCGGATCTTGGCGCGGCTGACTGAGCCATACGGAAGGGCATCTGCTTTGTGACGGGACGGAAGAGCGGCTGCGGACACGGCGCGGCTTGCACCTGAAGCCCGTCCAAATGCATGGTCACCCAGGGTCACACCACATAAAGCCACATCCTGTAGAAACAAGTCCAGGAGCCAAAGCCCGCTTCCGCCGCGGAAAGAATCACACGAGACGAGGCTTCAGACGGTTCAAAAAAGTTTCGACCGTGCAGCGCTTCAACAGGCAACGCTGCAAGACGAAGTGTTTAGAGCCCGGCTACACACAACGTCGCAGTGCTCCACTGGGAAAAGCGATCTCCAGAGACAAAGCCGACGAAAACAAGAATCGCCAAGTCTTCAAATCACGCAGCGACTGTCAGCCGCAGCCGTTTATTGAGTAGAAAAGCGAGATCCCCCCTCCACCCGCACTCGCGACGCAATTGAAACCAGCGACGTGCAGCCGAATGACGAGTTCGACAAGAAGGCCAGCACGAGCGCTTTTCGCAACCGGCAGCAAAGATTCCGACCTTGTTGTGCAGCTGGACAAGGCGCGCTTCCATCGGTGCAAGAGGTTCGCACGATTGTCGAACCGCATTCCATTCGTTGCTGTGCCAGGAGAAAGAAAAGCAAACGGATCTTACGGCGCAGATCCACGAAGCAAGTCCCGAAAAGGACCCACCGGATCCACCTCCAAAGATGCAAAAGAAACCGGACGAGAAGACCGTGGAGCCAGAGGTCTTGCCCACACCGCTGGAGGCCCGAAGTCAGCCCGATTCCGAGAACAGGCTTCATTCGCCGAAGATCGGAGACCGCATCATGGTGCTGAAAGAAGCATGGCTGGCACTCGTACTTCAGAAAATCAAGACCATGGAGGTCCGAGGTGCGCCAGCAGAGCCAGGTCCTATTTGGCTGGCTTGCGACGGGTCGATCTATGGATCCGCCAAGATCACGTCCTGCACTCCGCTATCTGCGGAAGAATTCCAAACCGCCCGGCATCAACACCGTCACTTGGGAGATGAGCTGCCGTTCGCCAATACGTTTGGACTCTGCTTGGACGACATCCAACAGCTGCCGAACCCCATGAAGCACTACCGGCCGCCGACACAAGCGCCTTGGGCAACGTTCAAATCCGGTCCAGCCGACAAGCTTCCCCGCGGCAGAGTCCGGAAGCGCAAGTCAATAGATGAGGGCCGTTCCACCCCTCCGAGATTTGCCCAACAAGACCTCCCACCCGAAGAATGAACCAAATTCCGGCGCAAGACAGCGCCGAAAGCAAAAGGACCCTGCGACACCCCCGACTCGTGCCGCACACTGGAGAAAACAGTACATGCACATGCCAATTGGAATTCGAAGTTCCGGCAGGCAGCAGAGGCAAAAACAGTTTCTTGTTCCCTGTCTGCTGCAGCCATCGGAGCTCAAGCTTCCTAGAAGTTACAAGGTCCCGCGCGCCACTTCGGAAATTGGCCGGGTGCCAAATTGTCATCGAGCCTGTGTTGGAGACAACAAGCCCACAATGCCACCGAGGACACAATGCCAGCAAAATCATCGAGAGTGTGAAGAACCCGGTCACATGGCACATGAAAGAGCTGAACGACGGCACGCCGGTACGGAAGGTCTGGTCCCAGCTACGCTGGGGCTCCTGGACCGACGATAAACAAGCCAAGTGGGAAGGATTCGTGGGATTCGTGGCCGAGACAAAGCGCGACGCACAGTTGTCCAGCGTGCGAATCCCAAATCTACGCCGCAGCCTCGCCGCAGCAATCAAAGCGTATCTGGTGGCATTGCTCCGATTCGGCACCACTTTAGCGCCAACAACCGTGGTAAAAGTCGAACTGCAGGGCGAGAAAATCACCGTGACGGTCTCTCAAGGATGTTTCGAAGCAAAGAAAGGCCCGATGAAACGCAGGAAACATGCAATCAAGTCCGAGAAGTGAGAACGAATCCAAAGTGACCTCACGACCACCACCGCTCCTGGGCTGGGTGGTTCAGCCGTCCGTGCATCAAGCACTTTCTCGTAAGTGGACCTGCCAACCAAGGCTCTGTTGACAAGCAACAGATGCTCTCAATCGGAGAGAACCCAGAGCAGCTCCCTCTCCGATACAGAAAAAACGACACTCCACGTATCTGCCAGTTGCCGTCTTTGCCAGAGTGCCTCTCTCTCCCTCCCTCTCTCCCTCTCTCCCTCTCTCCCTCTCTCCCTCTCCTCTCTCCCTCTCTCCCTCTCTCCCTCTCTCCCTCTCTCCCTCTCTCCCTCTCTCCCTCTCTCCCTCCCTCTCTCGCTCTCTCTCTCTCTCTCTCTCGCTCCCTCTCTCCCTCGCTCTCTCCCGCACGAGCTCCAACCGCTGGCCCGGCTCAAGCAACCCGCGAAGATTGAAACATCGCACCCAGCATGCACAGAGGCACCTTCAGACCACCTGCGAATCAGCCAAACCAATGCGGCATTCCGCGCTGCAGGTGAAGCAAGACTCAGCTGGGCAGACATCGCGGACAGCAGCGACGAAGAAGAGGACGGAGAAACCGAGCAGCTCACGCACTGCACAGACGGAGACGCAAGAACAGAAACCGTCCGCCCTTGAAGGACCAATCTCACCCGGCTGGTCCTGCGATCTGGAGGCACGGGCACCAATCTTGCAGCCTGTCTCGGAACTGTTCCATGTCCTTGCACCAGTGTCCGCGACGGCCGGCCATCGACGGAGGAACGCGAACCACAGGTACGGCGTGCAACGCTGGAACTTTCAGTAAAGTTACGGTCGTGCTGGCATATCCTCGAAATGGACGTTATACACTGACAAAACCGCGCTGAAGGACGACAAAGCGCCAGCGGCAACCGCAGCTCTCGCTCAAGAGCACCACGTGGGCCACGCGGCTCCAAGAGGCCTTCCCGAAGTCTATAACTAGTGTTACGGCGTGCGAGCACCAGCCGGACACTGCCAGGAAACGAAGAAAGCCAGGGACCCCTCTCCACGAGACCATCGACAAGCAAACAGGCGCCAGACCTGACCCTGGTTACATTGCCCATGATAGCATCTCGAAGCGCAGGAGCCATGCCGAACCGGAGAGCCAGAAAACGCGACTGCCAGACTGCTCACAGAGATCGCAGCCTTTCTTGGCACATGCTTCAATTTTCAAGTCCAGGAAAGGCTTCAACACAAAGTTCTGCTCGAACTCCTGCATTGCTGGCAGAAAAGCTTGCGACCAAGATGCCATCGTTTGAACATTCCATCGTCCCCCATGCACGATTACATATTCAGCATCAACCTAGCCCTGCACTTGGAAGTAATGAACTTCGTTCATTCCGTCCTTCGCAGCTTGTACAAAGGCAGAGTTCCCACGAACACAGCAAGCCGACAGCAAAGGCGGCTTCGACGCAAGTGCAAGTCATTTCCGTTTTGGGTTCCAGCATGGGGAGTTCTCGTTTACAACCTGCACCTGCGATAAAGCTGCGGTGGATCAGAAGGCATCCTGGGCCAAAGAATGTTTCACCACCGTGCAAAACCGAAAAAAGAGGGGTCGTGCCGAGGCTGCGCAGCTTGTCGAACATGAAACGCTCCGTGCAGTGACAGAACGGATCAACAGAATCGCCAAACCAAATCACCAACATCCGGAACGATTGAAATGATGGCCAGCGCAAACTCGAAGGCCGGGCCGTGTATGGCCACCACTGGCGGAGGCGAAGAGATTAGAACAACTGCACCAGACTATGACCGAAGCAGAGACTGGCGACAGCACGCAAACAAGCGAGTAGCCGCGAGACGAGAAAAAGCATGCAGCGTGGCAGCCACCTTGCCACTAGCCGCTGCGCAAAGACAAAGCCAATCGCCGCAATGTCCCTTTCGCCGATCCTTACGTGCCGTAGAACATTCAATCGCAAGCATCGCGCTGTAGCACTGTAGCAGTTGTAGCAGTGCGGGCAGCCGCGCCATGGCTACACAGAGCTGCTACCGCACCGACACCGCGCAGACGAATGCCGGACAGCGTCTCGCCCGACAGAATGCCAAGTCGGCCGGCAGCACCGACTACAAACGCTCGCCAGGCCATGCTCAAGTCCTTCACGAGTGCACTCAGACCAAAAGCCGGGACACCAGCAAGACCACGCCCAACAAGCCGAAACTACCGGCTGTCATGTGGAGCTTGATCTTGGACTTCGCAGGGACCAAGCACCGGCTCATCATCAGACACGACGACAAAGATGATCCCGAAGCATTGCTTCAAACGCAACTCTTGACGCGAGCGCTGCAAGAAGCTGGCCTCATACGTCGTTGGAGAGTTACGGTGCAATGTCAGCTCCGTCGATGCATCCATTGGTTCCAGCTGGAAAGCAGAAGATGGAGTCTGTCATGCACCAACTCGTTGCTAGCCACTCAGAAAGCCATAGGCAACCAGCTTCGTGAGATGACATTGCCCAACGAGAGTAACGCCTTTCCGAACTGGCACGACAAGCAGATCAAGCCCATTCGATCAGAATACCTAGAAATGGAAGCAGAGTTCCAAATCGTGTTGACCGGAGCAGATTTCCACCGCCTGACGTGGAGATGGATCGTCCAGAGGGCCATTCCAAGCGTTACCCCTTCTCTCGGAATAATCTTTTCGCCAACACCACGTCTTTGCCTTCGATCACGCGAAAATGCCATTCCGAGACATAGACTATGAGTTCCACAAACAGCAGTCCAATGGGCGAAAGAAAACACAGGAAAAAAGCAGCAGATCACGTGAGGGTTGGTGGGAGGGTTGCGGCAATAGCAGCACCTTTCATGCAACGACGGTGGACCGTGCAGCGCATAGATGAACGTGCATTCAACTACTGCAGCAAGCCGCGCATGGCTCAACATATGAGGCCTGAAGTCACCCGTCATCCGGCAGCGACAGGCAACGGCCATGGCTTCCCCCAAGGCAAAGCGCTTGAAGAACGACGGCGACCACGAAAGAAAGAAGCACATCACCCCAAGCTCTTCAGGCAGGATCACCCTGGAAAACCAGGGTTTGGGCAAACGCCTGCCGCCAAAGTTGCTCCGGCTCGACACGAGAGCAACGGAATTTCCGCTTCGACCTGCAGAACTTCCGGCATACCTTCCGGAAGAGTTCATTGCGGATCGATTGCGAGAAGTGAATGGCCATGCTCGGGATCGAGATCTCTCCTTTTGCGCCAAGGAGCACGTTTACTTTTGGAAAGGGCACAGAATCAAAACGTCCGTGACCCAAATGGTTCATTCGTTCACAGAGCCCTTCTGCGAAAATCGAGTGATCCAAGCCATGATGCAAGGATCACGCTGGCCTCGCCCGGGCTACTTGAAACCCTTGTCAACCAACGAGCTCTCCAAGATCCTGCAACACGCCCCCGGCACCGAACCCATCCGAACAGAGCTGGCGAGCGAGAACCTGCAAGACGAAGCCGATGTGTGCGGGCTACTACAAGCGCTGAGGCAAGCTTCAACCGACCGGAATCAAAAGCAACGGCAGGTCCTGGAGGACACGTTGCGGACCGTGTGTATGTCGGAGTCCGAAATCTGCAGCAAATGGGAGACAGCAAGAAACACTGGCGCACGGGAAGGAACTTGGATGCACGCTCAGTTCGAATGCTTGCTAAACGGAGGTTCGGTGCCCTCCCAAACACCCGAAATTGCGCTCTTTCTGCGATTCCTACGCCGCCACCCGGATATGGTCGCATACCGGACGGAATGGCGAGTCTGCGCAGACAGAGAAGACATTGCTGGCAGCATCGACTTCGTCGCAGAGCTCCAGGACGGAAGCAAGGTGTTGGTGGATTGGAAGCGCACACGCAGCATGAGCAAGAAGAGTGAAGCCTTCGGCAAATTCCTACGTCCACCCTTGAATTCCGTGCCCGACTGCGCCCTGTGGCATTACCGCTTGCAGCTGAATGTTTACCGCTACATCGTCCAAGAGTACTACGGCCAAGTCGTGTCTTTCATGTACATAGTAGGCACGCACCCTGACAACGGCGACGAGCCCTGGGTCGAGAACGTACCGGTTCTGCACCACGAAACCCAAGCGATGCTCCTTGCCTGCGCCGCCAAAAAGAAAAAGCCGCCGCCTGTTGAAGATTCAGCATCGCAAAAACGCAGTCCTACAGCATGCCGCGTCGAGCTCGGACCACAGAAGCCAGAGCCGTATTGGAACAAGCGATCAGGCACGCCCGCAAGAAAGACAGTCGAAGCAACCGAGGCATGCCATGGCAAAATCGCTGCAGCACGATCGTGCCGCTGCTGCCTCCCTATCTCGAAAAGGCAGACCTGATACCGCTCCTCCAGATGGATTCGAGAACGAGGGACGGAAGCGCCAAGATCGTTCCCCGCATACGGCGCATCATCCACGAGCTGCGCTTCGCACTGCGACCCCTGGTGGACGGTCGACTGCGCCTTCCCGGCTTGGCCAACCCATACAAACTTCGCGTTCGAGCATCGCGGCCACACGAAAACTTTTGGAAGGACATGGATAGCCATCCCCAAGCTTCCACGATGGGGACGCAAGAAGCCGCCAGAAACTGGTTGGAACAGGCCGGACTCGGCAGCTTGAATCCCGCCGAAGCCGTGCTGGTGATCAACGCCTGGCCGAAAGCAACTCGAGCGGCGGGAATGCTGGTCAGCGACTTCTTGACCGCTTCGCGAGCCCGGTTCTATTACATGCCGTCCGCAGAGATCAACGACGGAGCCCGCCTCATCATCATCTTCCGGATAGAAGGATTCGAAGGATCCATCGAGACGAGCAACCCGCCGAGATCCAATTATGTGATCGGGAGCGCTTGCAACTGCGAGATAACAGATAGCAGAGTCGCTGCGAAAACCGAGGCGAACTTCCAGCGCGCGCCCGCCGGCCCGCATAGCACAGGACGCAGCGCAGAAGCAAAATAGCGATCCCCAGATGCCTCCTACCACCATCTTGCCCAGTCATAGAAATTAACCCGGCTAGCACGACACAAACACAAAGGCAGACGCGCGAGGCCGACACCTGAGCAGGGCGGAAATTTCGCCGACAGTTGGACTTCCGGGACAGAAAAGGAACGGCGGGGCCGCTTGCAACAGTGTTGTGTAAGACAAGTGAATAAAATTGATTCTACTGCAAATAGCACGATGCCGCAAGCCACAATCAAAAGCAGCCCGAAGCAGAGAAGGCACCCAGGGAAGTAGAGCGAAGACGCCCGTCTGACGGCCATGGATATTCCCACGCCCGAGCCGCGAGATGGCACCGACGCGGTGCAGGAGCTCTTGCCGAAGACGAATGCCGAGCAAGCCCCAGAGGCAGAACAACCTGCCGCAGACATCAACGACGAGGGGACTCAAAATGGACCGCTGCAAGTCACGGAGGCGGACATCTGCAGGCCAGAACGACAAGGAAAGCAAGCGGAAAGGAAGCCCGGCAAAGAGAACTGCAGCAGCCGCGCCAACGCGTCTCCGCCTCAGCCGACACGTTCAAGCTCGGCACCTCCGACACGAGCCACCGAACCTGCCGTGACGCAGCTCGACGGCAGCGAAGAGGTCGCCGACACATCAATGATACCGACCAGACCGAACTCGCATCCTATGAAAGACGACCGAATCATGTCGCTGAGCCAAGCGACCTTGGACAGACTGCTGACAGGAACGCAGAGTACGGTCATGCACGGGCGACGCTCCAAAACCGGCCCCGTTTGGCTAGCAAGCCAAGGGGTCATCCACGGGTACGGCGACATCGCGAGCGCGGAGGAAATGACCCCCGACGAGATCAACGCACAGCGCGTCGAGGGCTGGCACCACGGCAAGGCGCACAAGAAGAGCTATGGGATTCGCATCCACGCGATCAGACGCATAGAACCTCTCGTCCCCTACTTCCGACCACCGCGCCAATCCAAATGGGACAGGTACATCCCCATGCCAAAGAAGAGAAGTCGAAGTCCATCCTCGGAAGGGGCAAGCGGAGCCGACGTGCACAGTGAACGCAAAGATCGCAAAGTCCACGAGAAGGAGCATAAGGACGCAGCCACACAGTCCGAGGACTCCGGCAGGGTCGCGAGCGAAGCAGCACGCTCCCCTTGAAGTATCTGGCGTCTTCACCAGGCGCGAAGTTGAAAGCCCCGGCAAACTCCACGAGAAGCAGCAAGAATCCATGGCAGCAGAGTCTCTGACAACAACGGTATTCTTTCCGACAGAGACACGGCATGAGAGACCGGAACGTGGGCCTGCCGGTAGAAAAATGCGACAAAAGGTGCATGGTGCGGCATGACACCGACAGGTCACGTCCGGGGCTGCCAGGGCTTCCATTCCACGCCACGCCACGTGTACAGCGTGTCTCGTAGTCAACAACATGACTGTCCGCAGGAGTCAGGCTCGAGAAATCGCAAATTGCCCCGTCCGGCCCTGGCACAGCCACAAGCGACGCATGGTCAAACAGACGCTCAACAGCCAAATGACGACCGCAAGCCTGCGCATCTACACCTTGTCCGGAGAAGAGCTGTCCGAGCTGCCCGAACTACCTGAGCCTGCGACCGCTGGCCAGCTGAAGAAGCAGTTGCAGATCACGCACGGAATGCCGCGATTCCGACAAAGGCTTTTCAACGGCGCCAACCCCCTGGAAGACCAAGATGAGATAGCTCTTCCGGCAGAACTCCATTTCGTGCTGCTGAGCTACATTCCCGCCACGCACGAGAACGTACTCGAACTGATCCACGCCTGCCACCAGGGAAACGAAGTACAAGTTGCAAAGATTTTGCACCGGCCACAAGACGTCAACGCACCCCTGGCATTGCCCAAAGACACCGACGCCCAAGACGACAGCGACGACGAGAGCGAATGTGGAGATCGAGTCGTGACCGCCCTCCAGGCAGCGGCTCGCGAGAACCACGAATGCATCATCGAGCTCTTGCTAGAAGCACGTGCCGACATGCATGCGCCCGGGAACAACATAGCACTCTGGTGGGCAGCAGGGGAAGGCAGTGCACGCGCGGTGCAAGTGCTCCTCCGCGCACGTGCGGAACTAGACAACACAAACGCCCGCGGCGAAACGGCCCTCCTCGAGGCAGCTTGGCAGAACCACGACGATACCGCCGAGATGCTCATCCGAGCCCGTGCCAACCTCGAGTCCCGTGATATCCATGACAGAACACCTCTGATCGCAGCCTGCATCGCAGACAGTCAGGATGTTGCGGTCTCGCTGCTGCGGGCTCGTGCAGATTTGAAGCGATTCATTCGACATGAGGACGCAAGCTCGGAGGCAAAAACAACGGCAATGGCCGCGGCGGCCATGGCAAACCATCTAGACGCCCTGGCAGCCCTGCTCGAAGCCGGCGCAAACATCAATGCCGCCGGTGGCGTAGCCGACGGAACGGCACTTTGGCATGCCGCAAAGGAAGGAAACATAGGAGCCGTTGAGTTGCTCCTGCTCCACAGAGCCGACCCGGACGCAGACGGCGCCGAAGGGGAAGGAGGGAGCGCCCTGTGCGCGGCAACATTTCAAGGAAACAATGCGGTAGTCGCGCGCTTGCTGACGGCTCGAGCAAACCCGAACTTTCGCAGCTTCCTTGCGGAGCCACCTCTGATCCAAGCATGCATGCAAAACAAGCCCGACACCGCACAGCTGCTGCTGCACGCCAAAGCCGAATTAGGGAAACACCTCCTGCGTGCGATGTTCCTGTACGACATCGACCAGGCCACCAAACATCGCTGGGCGCAGAATCTGCTCCTGGGCAAGGCACGACACCGAAGACGAAAAAGTAAGAAAAGCAGCTGGACCCCAGGTCGTTTCGCAAAGCAAGTGCGACAGAAACCACGGGCCGTGGACACTGCGCGTCCTCACAAGAAACAGCGATCGAGTCGCGACGGCAAACTTCCACCGACCGGCGCAGAGGCAGGCACAGCACGGGCAAGGCCCGCTCGTTCGAGAGAAGTTTCACGCTGAGCCATTCCGACACGGACAGATCGCGGCAAAAGACAAAACATGCTTGGCGCGCACCCGGCAGCCACAGCAGCAACGCAAAGTTCGCAGCTGCGTCCGCAGCGAGGCATGGCTGATAGCATTCCGAGCAAGCAACAGATGCAAACCTTGCAAATGACGCCATGCTGCTTTTCAAGCCGAAACATGTCCATGACGTCACACAATACTGCTACAGTGCAAGCAGCAGCAGCGAAACGGCTAGCCGAGCAGATTCAGCACCCTCAGAGTTTTGTTCCTTCGGCACTCGAAGCCATGGATGGCATCTTCCCCGCCGCAAAGCAAGCCCCGCTACGCAGGCCGGGCAAATTCGCTCGACGAACGCGGCGGAAGGCCTCCGGTCCACAGCAGCTTCGTATCTGCAAGTTGAGCGGGGAAGTCGTAGCTAAAACAAACACACATCGACATAGAACGCCGATGGACCTGCTTACGTACTTAGAGCCCGTTTGCGGCGTTTCCAAGTACAGGATCAGGCTACTTCACGACGGGCAGAGGCTTCGAAAGAATGGCGTTCGGCGCTTCTCTTCCGCGGAGGATTTGCAGGTAGTCCTCCTGCCCTACGTGCGGACCAACAGCAATAGCCAAGTCTCCCGAAACCTCCGAGAAGCTCTCTACGAGCAAGACACGGCAAAATTGAAGAAATTGCTTTGGCGACCGGTTGATCCAAACACAACCTTTCCCCGATACCTCCCGCGTCCTATCACAGCATTGGAGTTTGCGTTGCTGAACCAGGGACCACGCACGAAAACGGTTCTGTTGACGCTGCTAGAAGCCAAAGCAGCTCTTGACCGGCCCGAAAACCAAGGGATGCTCTGCACGGCACTGAAGCACGGAGAAGACGAATGCGTGCGACTGCTGCTAAAGCATCGGGCCGACCCGAACGGTTCCAAGAACCGAATAATGCCCATAGACATAGCATGCCAGCGTCGTCCCGAGCAAGGGTCATTTCAGCGTGAAGCGCCCAAGACAGTAGCCATGTTGCTGTCAGCAAAAGCAGACGTACAGCCCATGCTTCGGGATGCCAACAGCTGGGCCATGCAACCAACCCCAAGGGATTATCTAGATTACATACATCCTCGCACGCTCGCCAGCACCGTATCCTTGGTGCGTGCTGCAGTGATGCACGCAAACCCGACGTTCATGCAGCAACTCGTCCAGACTGCCGAAAACGCGAATGTTTGCATCCTGCCCGCATGCCTCTGCAGCGCAGCCTACGGAGGCAACGAGCACGCCGTACTCTGGCTTCTGAACGCGCAAGCCGCAGTGGACTCGCACATCTGCCACCTCGTGCTGAAGGGAGCTCATCAACTCCTCTTCAGCGTCCATGCTCGCCGCACAGCCCTCGCCCTGGCTGCGGGCAGAGGTCACTGCGGAATAGTCGCAATGCTGCTCCGAGCCAGAGCGGATCCGAATACAAGACTGGACGGACAGACGGCCTTGTTGCAAGCTGCAGCACACGGAGCTCCCGAAACAGTGGTGTGCTCAATCTTGAAAGCTGCCGGAGAAGTAAACCGAGAGGACAGCTTTGGCCGCACCGCTCTCAGACTCGCTTTGCTTTACAGAAAGCCGCCAGATTTGCAGGTCGTTCAGGCGCTGTTGCAAGCCAAAGCCGACAAACAGCACAAAGACCAATTCGGCAGAAGCCCTCTCAGCATTGCAGCTCAGAAACTCGACGGCGCACTCCTGAATCTGATGCAAGACGACGCGATGCAGAAGTGACCACGGGAGGGAAAAAGACCCCACGGAGACCAACAGAATCCGGAGGCGCAATACCGTATGCCGGCATTCCAATCCCCACGCTGAAGATGCTAATCAGTCGTGCTACAGAAACACGGCATGTACAGTGCACCGACACGGTGCGAAGTGCACCCATCTTGCGCGCAGCCTCACGTAAAGAAACGAGAGCCTAATCCTGGCCGGCGGACATGGTGCCGCTTTCACGCTAGAG